CCACAGAGAGTTTTCCAGCCAGAAAAGCAATACCCTAAAGATCCCATAACACCAAGAAAGAATCATCTAGGAGTGGTGTCCACAAAAATCAAGATGAAATACATATTTTCTGGTGGCTATCACTTTTCAGGCTCTGGGCAAGATATTTCATGTGTTATTATTTTCACAACAGCCGACACGGTAGTTATTATCTTTCCCTCTTACAGATAAAGAAATTATGGTAAAGAGAAGCCCTCAGGCCGGGCGCGGTGGCTCAAGCCTGTAATCCCAGCACTTTGGGAGGCTGAGGCGGGTGGATCACGAGGTCAAGAGATCGAGACCATCCTGGTCAACAAGGTGAAACCCCGTCTCTACTAAAAATACAAAAAATTAGCTGGGCATGGTGATGTGTGCCTATAATCCCAGCTACTCGGGAGGCTGAGGCAGGAGAATTGCCTGAACCCAGGAGGCGGAGGTTGCGGTGAGCCGAGATCGCACCATTGCACTCCAGCCTGGGTAACAAGAGCGAAACTCCGTCTTGGGAAAAAAAAAAAAAAAAAAAAAAAAAGAGAAGCCCTCAAATACAAACAGTTTCAAACAGGTAACTTAAATGTGTGATATGGTGTAGTTGAGGCAATAGGGAACTGTTTCATATACTGCTATTTAAGTGGGAAAGTAAAATGGTTCAGCTGCTGTGGAAAATGTTTTGTGGTTTCTTAGAAAATTAAACATAGAATTACCAAGTAACCCACAATCACCCTCCTAGGTATACACCTTAAAAACCACCAAACAGGTACTCAAACAAGTACATAAACACACATATTCAAATGTACTCACAATAGACCAAAGGTAGAAACAGCCCAAATTTCCATCAGTGGATAAACAAGTTGTATATATGTATATAAAACAAATTATTTAGCAATGAAAAAGGTATGAAGTACTGACATACTATTTGTCTATAACTTCAAAACATACTAAATGAAAGAAGCCAGACACACAAGGTCACATATTATATGATTCCATTTATATGAAATATCCAGAATAGACAGAGACTGAGGGAGACTGGTAGTTGTCAAGGTCTTGAGGGAAAGGAAAATGGGGAGAAACTGCTAGTAGGTAAGAGGTTTCACTCTGGAGGGACGGAAACGTTTAGAACTAGACAGAGTTGGTGGTTGCACAACACTGTGAATATACTGAATGCCACTGAATTGTTCACTTTAAACAATTATGATTAATTTTATGTTATATAAATTTCACCTCAATGAACTAGAAAAAAATATATCTGTCACATTTGATTTTAAAAAAACACCTCTGTTCTGGCTAAACAATAAACATTAAACTGCTCAAAGTTACAGAACAAGTGGTGATGGCAGGCTTAGGATCTTTCCACTACTCATTAGTGTCTCTCTAGAGAAGTAATAGAATTGAAGCAGGAAACCAATTAGGAGGTAATGGAATCATCCTTGAGTGAAATGTTTGGCATGTAGCCTAAGGAGATGGCAGTGGGAGAGACAATAAAGGGATAAATTTTTTAAAAATTCAAAATCAGAATAATCAAGTCTAGGTGAATTAATGCCTATAAAAGAGTCAAAGATAAAACTTTCAAGGTTTTGAACCAAAGTACAAATATGTAATAGTTTAGCACATATAAAATATGATTCTAACTCAAATAAAATCTCAGACTCAAATTTATGTTTGTTATAATATTCATAACACCCTATAGTTACATTTTGTTTAATCTTCTTTCAGTCCTTTATATGTCTTTCAGAATCACGCCACTAAAAATCACGGCTAAATATTCTAAACCGATTTTAATTCCAAACTAACATTATTAATGTTTGCTAATATAATCAATTACAATGCAATAGTTAAAACATAAAACTTCCTTCTGGACTTGGAGCTGGAGTAAACAACTAAGTCTAATCAGTAGGATTTCTACATATGAACCTTATCTATCAAGTTATGCTGCTTGTAAGGCTAAAATCAACCTTGCCTCAAGAATCTAGCATAAGGCCCAAAGTCTTTGCCTATGCCCACTTTTAAGGCCCCCAAATCAAGCTGTATTTTTAGGAACCTAAGTGGACTCCAATGTGACAATGGGTACCACTAGACTTCCCTATCCATTTATCTCAACCTTGAGACTAGGTTGGATTGCAAAACTTACCAGATAGGTCTCAAGTTCTTCTTATTTGCTTATTTTTAATAATATAATGAACAACTTAAAATTCATCACCGGAAAGAGAACTAGAACCTAGATGGTAAGTTGCTCGTGTACTCTTTCCCTGCTTATCCCAAGCCGCCGGTTCCCCTCTACCAAGCCACACGTTCTCATGAAAAACAATACTGGATAGTTGTCTTCGAAAAGGTATAATACGTTATATTATACAGCAATATATTCACAGAACTGGCATCAAAAAAATTCTAGCAAAATGATTATTTACCCAGTGGCAATGAAAAGTAGCACAAAACTTTTATAAAACCATTTAGCAAAAATGTACAAAAAGCCATTCTATTAAATTTGTGCAAAACTAACTGTAGTTTTGCCAAAAAAAGCAATTACTTTTGGACCCACCTAAAATGTTAATACCCTCTAACCTCATAAATTCATTTCTATAGTAGCAAATCTCCCCAAAATAAAAAAAAAATACGACTAACACAACGTATAAGAAGTTGTTCATTACAGTGTTATTGGTAAGAAGGAAAAGTTGGACGACATAAATATTCAATAAGAGTGACTTAGAAAACTGAACATTTAGCTGAAGTCTATCCTTTGCTAATCTAGGCCAAAATAAATTTTTTTAACTTGAAAATGTCATAATTTTGGATGTTTCTCAAATTCACAAAATCTAGCTCTTTATTCTTATATACAATTCAGAACATTAAAGTTAAAAGTGAGGGATGATAACTCAGATGGATATAAGCAAGTTACACGCTGTAAGGTCTGGAGTATCTGATCTGTTTTCAAATGTGCTTAACATCAGGCTAAATATTTTCTTTAAACTGAAAAAGTCTATGAAATAAAATTATTTAAAATTGTATTAGTGGAAACAAATGTTTTCTGAGCTAGGAAACATAAATACTTTCCTTCAAAGCAAGAATTTACCAATACTCAAATTATAAGCTGGAAATATTTTTTCAAAGCAAAATGCCATACATATTATGTGAATTATAAAGAATCATTAATTAGATTTATGCTACAGTATATTTGAGTGAAAATATAAAAAACCATTAGCAACAAAATTTTAGTAAGTAATGTTTTCTACATAATTAAAGATAAAATGAGTAAGAGAAAAACAAAGTATAAATGATTTCTAGAGTAATAAGGAGGAGTATAGGGACACTTCATCGAAACGAAAACATTTGCCAATCTTTATAACAATGTGGTAAATAATTCAGGAAGCTGGTATATATCATTCATACTGGAGTTCCCAATCTTTAGACTGTGGACACTTTAAATGAGAATACAAAGAGCTAATGCAAGAGATCCTTGAATCAATATGCACATGTATATTTTCTTGATCAATGAATCCTAAAAATATAACTGCTATCATTTGGTGGTCTGAAATTACTTTTGATGTTAAAATAGAATTCTCATCTTTCCAGCTAGAAATTATGAGGTCTCTACAGTAAGTAATTTTTAGAAATATGTACAGTAGTCCTGCATTATCTGCAGTTGCAGTGTCACCTGCTGTGGCTTCAGTTACCTGTGGTCAACCGTGGTCCAATAATAGGTGATTACAGTACGAGATACTTTGAGAATGAGAGAAAGAAACCACATTTATATTTTCCAAAGCATATTATAATTTTTCCATTTTATTATCATTGTTAATCTCTTACCTAATTTATAAAGTAGACTTTATCATGGGTATGTATATATAAGAAAAAATATAGCGTGTATATGTATGTGTGCATCTACATATAGATTAGATATAGAAATAGATATATAGATATAGAAATAGATACAGGCTTTTGTAGTACCCAGGGTTTGAGACATCAAGTGGAAGCTTAGAAGATATCCACCATGTATAAGAGGGGACTATTTTACTACTCATTACAACTTACTGTTTGACTAAGTTATATACATTTTTGAAGAGCAAATTAAGATTAAAAGTAAGATATCAGTACTCAGAAAATATAGATCTTAATTTTTTTAAAAGTAAAGTATTTAATGTCTATATGCAACTGAACATGATATCTAAGATCAAAGTCACAGAATTACAGTTCCATTGAGAAATAAAATATACAGTACTTTAAGAATACATGATATCAAGAACATACAGTCCAGTGAGTTCAATGGAATTGGGGAAATTACTAAATGACATTGATCTCATTTTCCTTAGAACTAGGAAAATCTCAACCTAAACATTACACCTTATTTAAAAAATTACAATGGAGGCGCTAGTCTTAAATGTAAAGTGTAAAACCATGAAACCTTTTTATTTCTCTGAATTCATCTCCTAACTGGAATTTAAAGAAACAATTGTGATGAAGATAGGATGTAACGCGGCTTATATGCTTCCAGTTCCTATGAACTGTCCTAAAATTGTTCTTTCAATGAATGTTGACTCAACACAGTTGATAAAACCATAAAACTTTTATTTTATGGTTTTGCACTTTACATTTAAGACTAACTCCTCTATTTTAATGTTTCCTTCAGAAAAAGAAAATGTAAGAAAAAAAATCATAATCCAGGACTAGTCAAAAAATTCTTAAACATGTCACCAAAAGCAGAGTACATAAAAGACAAATTAATAAATTGGGCTTCATCAAAATATAAAACTAAAACTGAAACCAATTTTATAAATGAAAAGGTAAAGAATGACCTGTTAGCATTATACTTAGCATTATACTGCAGCAATAAATATTTTGGATAATATATGGCTATACATATAATCTAGATTTGATAAATTTGTGAGGATATATAAAAACAGTTTTCTTTTTGACTCACCTCTAAGCATGCTACCAGCCTAGGGTGTACTTGTCACTTCTTTATTTAATAAAAGTTAAGTATCAACACTTACCAGCAGCTTCGAGAACCAGCTGCAGTCTGGCTTTGGCCTGTTCAGCTGGTGGCTAAAAAAGAAAAAAAAAAAAACTAACTACAGATCAGTTTTAATAGATGGAGCTTTAAATTAATGCATTTGTATGCCGATATTAGAAAATTTAGAGAGCTTTAACATAACTGATATTAAAATACATCGCATCTTGCATTTGCATATACGATGCAAGAATGATAAACTTCTTCTTTCTTCCGGAAAAAGTTTTGCTTACTATCCAACATTGTACCAATCAGCAATAACTTAATTGACTGAAATTACTAACAAGGCAAAGCACGCAAATTTAACAACATATTCTCAAGTTGTGTTACTTCTTTCCATATAGAAACAGGCAAGCAATCTATGAGAATTTAAATAGCAACGTTGAAGTCCAATATTTCAGGCAAGTCAGACTCTAAAACCAAGTATTTTCTGCTTTCCTAACTGGAATTTAAAGGAGTAGTTGTGATGAAGATAGTTTACAATGTGGCTTATATTTATGAACTTCCAGTTCCTATGAACTGTCCTAAAATTGTTCTTTCAGTGAACCTTAATTCAATACAGTTGATAACAATGAAACTAAACTAATTTCCTACCAGTGACTGCACACTGAGATTTTTGGATAACATATTAAGCAATAACAAAATAACATTAATTATGTCAGGGTTATGACTTTTTACTAAAAACCTGTTTAAAAAAAACTATTGTCCATACTTGAGACTTCACTTCATATATTTATAAAGATGTCTGCAATAAATTAACCCCATTTTATATATGAAAAATCATTTCAAAATTAATAATTTGTGTGATACATTAGAATATTTTGCTATTTGTAAAAAGAAACCCAACTTGAATAAAAGAATTAAATAATTGGATATAGGAAGAAGATGCTGTGCTCAGAAAAGTTTAAGAATTTGAATGGTCCTTCTGAAAGACCTATAGGAAACAAGATGGAAGAGTGGGAGATGAGACAAGTGAGGAGACCGGGAGAACCTTTTATATCACAGAACAGGGATTAAGAAACTATAGCCCTGGACCGGTGGCCTGGCTTTGTAAATAAGTTTTCTGGGACATGGGCTATGCCATTTGTTTACATACTGCCTACAGTGGCTTTTGTGATCAACTCAACAACAGGAGTTGATTATTTGAAGCAGGAATCTTAGGACCAGCAGAGCCTAAAATATCTATCTGAATTTTAAAGAAGAAGTTTGCCAACCCCTGCCACGGAAGATGAAGAGACTTAGGAAAATCTTAAACAAAGGGGTGATGTGATCAGATCTGCACTTTGATACATCACTCTAGCAATATGTTTGAGGATAAATGGAAAGGAATATGTCTAGAGGCAAGGAGCTCAGTTAGGTGCCAATTAATGAATTCCAGGTGAGAGGAAGGCATGAGCTGAAACAATAACAGAAAGGTCAAACAGGACAACACAGACTTGAAAATATTTAATTGGTCAAACAAAAGGGCTGACTGGTTCTCAGAGGAGGAGATGACAACCAATGAAGAGTACTTTATGTCATATTTTTAAGGGAAAATGTATATGAGCATGCTTATTAAGTTTTAAAGTATTAGAAATACATGACATCAAATTAAAATATCAGTGCAAAATATCAATGGAAGACTGTGATATCTACTGAATATAACAGTCAAAAATTAAAATGTCTAAAGGTAACAAGCCACAGAAGCAAACATTTATGATAAATGGCAAATGACGTTTGACATTAGTATCAGAAAGCACAGGGAGTATGGAGAACTGTCAAGCACATGCTCCAACTAAAGGAAGCAGCTGATATTGAGCACCAACTGATTGCTGTCACGGAGAAACGCAAGCCCAGAGTTATGAAATTTGTTACTTTTTCACAAGCATTTAAGTTACCATGAAAACCAACACAGAACTGTGGGGATAAATACGATACTTTCATGGGCCAGATTCAAGCAGCTCCTAAGCAAGTGAAGAATTAGGAAACACGCATGTCAATGTCCTTGTAAGTAGTGTCCTTTGATAGAAAAATCCTAGGCACTTTACTGGTTATTTCATAAGAAAGAAATTTTTTTTTTTTTGTATTTCATAAGGAAAGATTTTATTTTTAACAATTAAGAAATATTTAAGATACAGAAAAAATATGCATAATGTGTACCCAACATTCAATAAAACATTAATAGCAATATTGTCCAAGTCTTGTACTCCATGAATCTCCCTCTATAGATATCTTCCTCTCATTATCTTGAATATATGGTGACTACTATTCCTAAGCAAAGAGGATTCTTTTCTTTTCTTTTCTTTTCTTTTGTAAGAGACAGCGTCTCACTCTGTTGCCCAGGCTAAAGCACAGTAGTGTGATCATGGCTTACTGTAGTGTTCAACTCCTGGGCTCAAGTAATCTTCCTGCCTCAGCTCCCTGAGTAGGTAGGACTATCGGTGTACACCACCACATCCAGCTCCTTTTTTCTGTTGTTTCACAGAGTTGATGTCTAACCATGTTGTCCAGGCTGGGCCTGGCCTCAAGCAATCCTCCCACCTTGCCCTCCCAAAGTACTAGGATTACAAATGTGAGCCACTATGCCCAGCTAGGAAAAAGTCTAAATGGCATATGTTTATAATAAATACACCTGTTAAGATATATTTATTTTTCACTAATAACTCCAACAATTTATAAAACAGGATTCATATTTCAAAGACAAAGAAAACCAGAAAATGACAGCAGTTTAGTAATTTGCATCACTTAACAAATGAGAAACTAAAACTAAGACACTGACTCTAAATCTCAGGACTATTCTAACTAAATGACTAGAATACTCGGGAAATAAAATCAATTAATACACACAGATAATAAATGCATATAGAGTTTTGACTCCATTTAGAAAAAAATATCCAAAATAACATATTTACCCAGTAAATGAAATTTGTTTCTAAAAATATTTGCCTGTGCAGATACAACTTGCTAAATTTTATTTATAAAATAGAGGGATGAACTTCAACTATGGGGATAAATATATTGTTAGATTGATCAAACTTTTATAAGTAATCTGTATTTTATAAATAGTTTTATTTTGCTTTTACTTTGCTCAAGCCTTTTCTTGAATAGGTTGTCTGTCTGCAAATAGCCTTTTCTTTTTTTTTTTTTAACTTTTTTTTTTTTATTGCATTTTAGGTTTTGGGGTACATGTGATGAACATGCAAGATTGTTGCATAGGTACACACATGGCAGTGTGCTTTGCTGCCTTCCGTCCCCTCACCTGTATCTGTCATTTCTCCCCACGCTATCCCTTCCCACCTCCCCACCCCCGCCCCTCCCCCATTTCCCCCCAACAGACCCCAGTGTGTAGTGCTCCCCTCCCTGTGTCCATGTGTTCTCATTGTTCAACACCCGCCTATGAGAGAGAATATACGGTGTTTGATTTTCTGCTCTTGTGTCAGTTTGCTGAGAATGATGGTTTCCAGGTTCATCCATGTCCCTACAAAGGACGTGAACTCATCGTTTTTGATGGCTGCGTAATATTCCATGGTGTATATGTACCACATTTTCCCTATCCAGTCTATCATCGTTGGGCATTTGGGTTGGTTCCAGGTCTTTGCTATTGTAAACAGTGCTGCAATGAACATTCGTGTGCACGTGTCCTTGTAGTAGAATGATTTATAATCCTTTGGATATATACCCAGTAATGGGATTGCTGGGTCAAATGGGATTTCTATTTTTAGGTCCTTGAGGAATCGCCACACTGTCTTCCACAATGGTTGAATTAATTTACATTCCCACCAACAGTGTAAAAGTGTTCCTATTTCTCCACATCCTCTCCAGCATCTGTTGTTTAACGATCGCCATTCTAACTGGTGTGAGATGGTATCTCAGTTAATTTTTTAATACAGTGCAAGTTGTGCACTAAAAACCTTTTTATTTGGGTACTATATATGGCTATCCAATTGTTCCAGTACCATCTGTGGAAAAACCTATCTTTTCTCCACTCAATTGACTTGGCATTTTTCTCAAAAATCAATTTACCATATACACACACATATACAATGAGTCTGTTTCTAGACTCTAATTCTGGTCCATTGATCTATTTGTCAATAGTGATGACAATACTGATGTCAATAGTGATGCTAATCTGTCTTGATTATTATTGCTTTATATTAACTCTTGAAATCAGATAGAGTAACTCCTCTAACTTGTTTTTTTCAATGCAGTTTTGGCTCTTCTAGCTCCTTTGCATTCCCAATTTTTCGAATAAAGTTGTCCATTTATTTTTTTAAAAGGCCTGCTGGGAGCATGCATGGGACTGAACCAACTCTACACATCAATTTGGGGAGAACTGACATCTTAACATTACTACGTTTTAGCCTGGTTTATCTTTTTCCATCATTGTTACCTGCTAATGCCTTTATATAGATATAGTGTATATTTTTAAGTAAGTAGCATGTAGTTGAATCTTGCTTTATTTTACAATCTGAAAAACTGCTTTATAATTGAATTGTTTAGAGCAACATACGCTTACTATATTATTAGTCCACCACACTGCAATTTACTTTTCTGCCTTCTCACATATGTATATATTTTTTGAGACAGAATCTCACTCTGTCACCCAGGCTGGAGTGCAGTGGCGCAGTCCTGACTCACTGCAATCTCTGTGTCCTGGGTTCAAGTGATTCTCCACCTCAGCCTCCCCAAGTACTTGGGACTACAGGTACCTGCCACCACAGCCAGCTAATTTGTGTGTATGTGTGTATTTTTTAGTACAGATGGGGTTTTACCACATTGGCCAGGCTGGTCTTGAACTCCTGACCTTAGGTGATCCGCCTGCCTTGACCTCCCAAAGTGCTGGGATTACAAGCATGAGCCACCATGTGCAGCCAGAAATCTCTATAATTGTTAACAAGTGGTTTCAGCAAATTTATTTTTCATAGCTATTCTAAAAGGGAATTCTAAAAGAAGCTAATGTTTTTGCAAAATTCTTCCAAAATATCTAATACACATCAAATAAGGTATTGCATGTACAGTTACATACTATACAAGTGTCTGAAATTTTATTTACTAT